ACTTCATCGTTTCTCGGACGAAAGGACGTAACGGCGTTTCAACGTTGCTGAAGGTCTATTCACATTTTCCGTATTTTTTTACTCGAAAACGTGAGGGCATCTTGTGCTGATAGCTTTACAGATTTCTCTGCGACATCTGGTCAAAAGTTAAGGGAATTTTGAATGGTGGTCGCGCTGTCCTTTTCATTGGGAAAAATTATACCATCATCAAGGAAGAATTAAAGAAGCTACGAAAATCGAATTAAAAACAGACATTTGTTTGTGAACCTCGAATAAGTACAATTTAGTATTATAAGTTTGGAAGTGAATCCTCACAAAGAGTAGCAATGATTTTCCGATACAGAATGAAATTTGTTGCGAAGTTTCGTAAATTTTAAATGGGTACCTCAAAGTTAGTCAAAATCATACTTAGAAGTCTTCATTTTGTATTTTTTTCAGCGAGTGACAAATCATTGTGTTCCCTAATCAGGATCCATTTCCAGAGTTCTTATACTAAATTTTACTCGGGGTTCTCAAAAATTGTCTCATTTTTAATGCGATTTTCAAGGTTTCCTTGATCCTCCTTTAATTAAAATGTAAACTATATGGGCCACCTGTGGAAATAAGGAGCTCTTTGAGAAAACACTATAAACACGGCCTAAATAGCTAAAATTACCTCAAATTGATGCAAAATGGTGCAAAATTCAATACCCTTTCGAAAACAATTGAGCAGCAGATTCAACGGTAAGGGCACGTATTATATTTTACTCAAGTCATTTCTCCTTGGCATTTTAACGCCGCACGTTGAAACTACGCATCGCGCACGCATATTTATGGTGGGAAAAAACCTTTTCAAAAACAATTTTTTTCACGCATTAGCTCGTGAGTCTTCATTTATATCAATCAACCTTTAAAATTTGTTGTGGTGTTTTTGAAGTCGATCGTGGAGCCGACAGACGCATCATTCCATAACCTCGACCTTGCCCATGCAGCCAATAACACATAATTGAAAAGGTGACGATGAAAAAAAGCTTTAGTGAGCTCTGACGGCATTTTTCCGGATATTTGAAATATGATGTTGATGTATTAAGGCTGATAACTTTGAAGCTGCATACATCTAGCGATTCTTCTCTTTCCACGATCAACAGGGGAGGTTCAAAGGTGCGAAAAAAGCCTGCAAATCACGAAAAATGACGCTGATTTTGGATCAATTTTCAGTCATGGCGGGACGGGGGCTTCAGACCCGTTGACCCCCCCCCCTCCCCCCGGGCGACACCACTGACGGCAGAATTTAAAAACTTCGTGCGCAGGACCCGAAGTTCAGAGCATACAGATCTCTGAAGTTTTCGGATGGTCCAGTCCAAAGTTGATGGTCCAAAGTTGAGGTCCAGTCGCCGAAGTTCGGGTCACGAAATACGGTTCGAAAGTGTCAAGGTACTTCAGATGTCTGACCCGAACTTCGGCAGCTGGAAACCAAATTTTCAGATGCACAATTCGGAAACCCCAGAGATCCGTACGACCTGAACTTCGGAGATCCATACGACCTGAACATCGGAGATCCATACGACCTGAACTTCGGGTCCTATGCTGAAGTCTCTCTCGCCGTGAGCATGTTCTTGCGCTTTCATCTATAGCTCAATGAAAACCGGTGGTTGGTCTTGAGTGCGGCGCGGGCGTCTGGCAACATTTGGAGGAAAAAAGCCAAAATAATCGCGGATCAGACGAAGAAAGTCCGGACGATACCTGACACCCAACACGGAGACCGCAATGCATCGCACATACACGCTTCGCACGCATCGGGCATCGCGGAGCCCGCAGTTTGAGTGTTGGTTGCCAAACCCGACATGCCCATTAGTCTTCGCCAATTGCCACCAGGTGTGCACTTTTATTTTCACTTCGCAACCTCCGTTGCCGCGCTATTCCTCCGCCCAAGAGCCCAGTATACGCCGCAGACTTCGACCAAGGACCTACCGAAAACAGGGCCAATTCGGCCCATGCATTTTCTCGGTATTAAAAAAAAAAATAAAAAAAAAATAAATAAAAAAAACGGGATCCTATGGCAAAGAGCCGCATCCCAAGAATGCGCGGTGTGTAGGTACGATGGATAGGCAAATGGATTTGTTGCTCTCATGAGATGCAGTAACGGGGAAAAAGTGTTAGAGAGTATCTTCTAAAATTGCGTTACCACCCCAATTTGTTGGATGATATGGACATTTTGTAGTATCGCACACTGACAGTACTGCAATTCAAGTTGAGGTAGCATCACAACATTTGGGTTAGTAATTTAATTTACTGGGGATATACCACAAGTAATCGGAAATGTCCAAGTTGGAACTGGACCCCTACCCCTTATTTCTGTGGCTCGTTGAATAGATTTTAAATTGGTAAAATCGCAAAAGAAATCACATCGAGCTTGTATACCAAAGACGACTTAACAGTGTTTTCATAAGTTATTTGTAGGTATGCTAGTTTAAATTGTCACTGCCGTATAATTGAAATTTTTGTCAAATTTTAGCTTATTATCAATGTTGCGGCGGGTCGCCATCTTGTGCGTTTATTTATGACCGTAAGAGCATCATGAAGCCTAAAAACTCGTTGACCGATCAAAAAGCGGCACAGTTTTTCTGTAGTTAAAATATACGAATGACCATACTCTGTCCATGAAGGTACTCTAAGAAAACCCATTTAAAACGCACATTCTTTTAAAAGGGTATCAATGATTTTTACTCGGGGTTTCAATCATTTTCAGTCCTCAGAGCAGAGGCCCTGACCAACCGAATATTTGGGATGATATGGAACACCGAACGTTCTGTTCACACAGCCGAACTTTTGTTTCCAGTGATACTTTCTCCGGTGCCGTGTACACGCAGCCCACACGCACAATCACTTTCCCCCGCCCCCACCGGTTAATCCGGTCCCGTCTTTTTCGCCGGCACCGGACTTACCGGCGTGTAGCGTTGTGCTGGTGGGCCCCTAGTAAGGAGGTACCCTTCAGAGTTGAGTGGCAGCGAACATCAGAGTAAACGTAAACATGTAAACGTAAACGGAGCCAGCGTGTTTGGCTCCTGGTTGTGGCCGGACCGGAGCAAAGGGGGCCTCANGGGGGGGGGGGGGGAGGTCGCGACCGCAAGGGGTCCAGCCCTGAACTTGGCGAGATCGCGGACGCACCAGGTAGCGGCGCGGCGCGGCGTGGACCACTATCACTGCAGCGCACTCCGCATGCCGCACGACATTGCCATGTCGGCCATGAGCAGATTGGTTGCGAAGATAGTAGACCGATTCCGTGACGCCATTTCTCGCATTTTACCATCCTGGAGGGTGAGACAATTTTTGAAAAAAAATAATATTGAAAAAAAAAATGGAAAAATATCAGTTGAGTCCGATCCGAAAAACCACTTTTCTTCACTAAATCACCACACACAATTTTAGAAAGTTTCTAAGTTAGGCCCTTCCCGGATCGGACAATGCAGTAAAAACACCGCATTTCATTTGAAAGTTGATTTTGGACTTTGAAACATGCGCAACGCACTGTCTGCGAAATTTTGACCGGGAAACATAGCTTGTTGTGTCATAATTCGTGCCCTGTCCAGCGGGCCGATTTTTGAATTTGTCAGCACGACAAACTACCAAAATGCAATATATTGCATTGTTAAGATGGATATTTCTCTTGTCTTGCCGTATCGATGTAGATCCAATAATCTGGCCGGTCGACGTGGTCCATCGTCTCGTATGACGACAGTCGCGGTGGTGGTAAGAACGCATGGACGCAACTATTCGTGCTCTATGGATGGCCGCGTTGCATAAACAAAACAATGAAGGCACTTCAATTTTTCTTCTTCTTGCACTCTACCCCGTAGAGCAAAAACGCCGTATTAAGAGCATTCAAAAATGGTCAAATTTATCGATAAATTAATCCAGTTTCGAAACAAAGTTGCAAAATTTTCACTTGAAATTTTCTTACGTACGACGTAAAATCACGACTCACGTATGAAGACAAGTTCGTATGATTATTGCTTTATTAATTAAGGTGTTAGGTCTAGAGTACCTTCATAGACAGAGTATGGCCATTTGTATATTTTTACTACAGGAAAACTGTGCCACTTTTTGATTGGTCAACGAGTTTTTAGGCTTCATGATTCTCTTACGGCCGTAAATAAATAAACAAGATGACGGCTTACCGTAACATCGACAAGAGGCTAAAATTTGACAAAAATTTTAATTCTACGGCAGTAACTATTTAAACTAGCGTATCTACAAATAACACATGAAAGACACATGAAAAAACTGGTAAATCGTCTTTCGCCTTTATCACAGGAGGATGTAAGACGTGCATAATCTCAAACTTGCTTGCTGATAACAGCCATCTCGTTTGTTTATTTAAGGCCGTAAGAACATCGCGTCAGCCTATTTTCTCGCAACCAATGAAAAACCGGCACTGAAATGACCGTACTCTGTCTCTAAAGGTACTCTAGTTAGGTCATGAGTCTAGATGCAACTATTCGTGCTCGACGAATGTCCCGGTTGCATATACGAAAAAATGAAGGCGTTTCTGCTTTTCTCTCCTCTACGCATGGCCTCTCTCTATGGGAGATCGCCGTATTCGCTAGCTGCCAAAGTTCCTTTGAAAAAATGCTTTTGTTTTGAGAAAAGTTAAGTTGAGAACTTTTTTGGCTTGAAATTTTTAGATATATAACATTTAAAATTACCGTAGAAAAACGGCGTGTAAAGCTTATGCTCATTACAAAAAATAATAAAAAACTGGTATGGATTAAAAATGAAGTCAAAAGTCGCGATCTCTGCTACTTGGGTAAAGGGGCTTTAGGAGTTCTAGGACAACTTTGAATACGACGCTAAAGCTCATCAAAGTTGGAGGAGGATCCTTTCTGGAACGTTAGGATCGAGCTTTTTCGGTTTCGGCCGAAGTGGCAGCGTGGAAAGAAACGGCGCTGGGCCGCACTGGGCCAAAAGAGACCCGCACCACGATGGGCCGCGCCGCGAGTCCCAGTCCAGGCCCCGGCCAGTATCACTACGGGATCCGTCATCGCGTCACGTCCGCCGCAATGCCTCGCGCCAACTGAACGCCCGCGCGCGAATTTTTCCAGCACCGAAAACCACGGATTTTCATTCCTCCCCAAAATTAACTTTTCCAGGGCTCCGTCATGCGTTTCAGTGCCCGGGAAGTGAATCGTACTCTGCGACATTCCGTCTGAGAAGATTACATGTGTTTGTGTACAGTGTTGTTTGTTTGTTTACCTGTAAATAGCTACCTAAATGTGGATTACTCATTTTAGAAACGCCAAATTCTCCGGCATCAGCAGCTATCTGAGCAAGGATAACATAATGTTCCGGCACAGGTGGATATCAGTTCCTAAGAGGTACGCGAATCATTTATTTTATGAGCGTCGCACGCGACTCTTTGCTTTCCCTTCTCGCTTAAAAATTTCGAGAAAGTGTTGAATTACAAATTACGAACATCGAGTCCACCTGATGGCTCCATTGATATTTGGCAAAGCTTTCAGCGTCTCAAGGATAAAGCTCTAGGAGCATTGTCTGTTAAATTTGGCCTTTAACTAACGTAAAAAAATTGTTAAAATGCTAAGTCAGGAAGCCTTCTTTGTTTATTCTTCAAGTTAAATTTATATGAAATTTACACTAAATAAGTTATGGAAATAATTGGTATCAGAACTGTGTTAAATTCTAAAAATCACTCGCGCTGATGCTAAGTACAAAATTAATGCAGAATATGCAACATTAAAAACAACATTTTTCTGTTAAACTTATTAAAATCAAGTGAAATATTTTTTTTCCTTCAAAAGTGCAAGGTGGTGTTTTTACAAAAAAAAAAGAATAAAAAAAGTTTCCTGGCTCGAATATTGTAACAGTTATTGAAAGAGTTTTCCGTTTGAAATTTACGAGTTTCTTTTTAACTTTTCTTTTTACAACTAATGCTACGAGAGGAATTAATGAAGAACAAAAATGACAGCCTGCATGTATCGTAAGGTTCAGATGAAGAGAGGAGTTTCAAAGCGTTTTAGGCGGCATGCGGGTTGCTGCTAATTACTTAGATGCAAATATTTTTCTGGTGCACGCAGAGAAATATCCTTTGTAGGTCTTTAACCTCTAATTAATAACCCCAAAAAGAGAACGGTAACATTATCTAATCAAAGCAAATTCGGGTAATCTCTCTCCTAAGTACCTATTTTAAAACATTTCTTTTTAGTTTTAACAAGACAATGTTTTAATGTCCTCTATTTTTAAACCTTAAACTTGGCATTTTTTTTTCAATTATTGCCTCAAGTTCCATCATCCCATTCGCAGACGTGTCTGAACGAGCATACTATATTCTCGTTTTTTGCTATTTATTTCACCACTCGCCCCCCTCAGTCTTGTACTGTTACTCATTAGAGTTCAAATGTTTACTCTAATTGACATTTTTGAACTTTTTCGCCTTGATTTTCCCACAAAATAGTGTTGTTTTACATACCGCTCGGATCGCATTTCTCATCATTGTTTTCTATTCATCATAAAGGGAAACGAAATTTTCGCATTATATTGAATATTTAATTTACCACAGTTAAATAAGTGGGTCCAATGAGTACAGCGCGTAGCACTTGTTCATCGGTTGGTGTCGTGAAAAGTTTAAAAAGTTGTAAGGATGGTACTGAAAAAAAGGGAAGGAAGAGGAGGAAAAGAATGGAATAAAATTAGTCACGGTATTGAAGAGTGGCACCCGAAAATTTATGACTTATGACCTTTACGATTAAATTGCTTTCCTGTCATGTTCCGTTTGATCTTGAATCTCCATACGTCGTTGGAGCAACAAATCTTTGTCAACAGCGATAGGAGGGAAATATATGGCTAAAATTTTTTAGTACAGAAAAACGATGTACAGGTTTAATATTGTGGAAGGTGGATGGAGATTCTTTAACGTCAAATAATCATAATATTTCATGGATTTATACTTATCATAATTAAAAAAAGAATGAATGAAAAACGCGCAATATTTTAGCAAAGCTTTTAAATGTTCACTATACTTATAATTATTTGAGACGGCATAATTTTAGCAGCCGTGTTCGAAATTTTTTGAAGGATGTGTTTCTTACTGAAGAGGAATTCGTAATTTTGGCCTCCCTCTCAACCCAAGAATTTCATTGACTTGGTCTTACAGACTAACCTTCGGTTTGTATATAGGGCACGGCACCATAGTTTTTGGTCCAGGTCGTCAAAGTTTTCGGTTTTAAAACATCGGCTAATATAACCGAAGAGTTTGGTAAAAAAATAGGTCTATGAGTGTTTGTGTAGCTAACACAAACTTTGATCACCTGAACAGAAGTTTGTTTCCTGTGGTCGATGTTTCTATGACTTCGGTCATCCGAGCAGAAAACTTTTGTGTTTCACATGCACCGACGTTTCATCTCTGTGTACTGAGTAACTTTGTTACAACTACGAAGAAACCGAAGTATTTAGTCCCTTCGAAAGCACTTAAATTCGTTAAAGCCTAGTCTTCAGTAAATTATTGTACGACCAAATTTTTGACTATTTACGTTTTGATAGAGGCGGGCGGAGGGTAATGAAGCGAACACTTCCGTATTCCAGCCTACTTCGTTCAAACATGGGCGGCAGACTCTGTTCTTTAATATTGTTTGCACCGGCGCGGCGCGGGTTGGTGTTATAGCGAATGTTTGAACTGTTGCATAGACGGGCCTTTCACTTAGCGGGAAAAACCATCAAATATCCAGCCTACTTACCATTCCACGGATGCGTAGTCGATCGATTAGCTAATTAATGCCTGATGTTCACCGGCTCCACTGTTTTGGCTCCAGCTCCAGCTCCAACAAATGAACTGTCAATAGTTCTACGTAGGTCTCTACTGAGAAAATCGGGCTCATTACGACAAGGAATAAGCCATTCTTGGTACTTTTTGGTTGCTTTGAGTAATAGGCCTCTTTTCAAGAAAAAGATCAATCCAGCCAGGTAAAATTTCTGTCGTAGTTAGGAGAGCTTCTTGTCATAATGAAATTATTCAATTGTGGCGGCCAAAAACAGTCATTACCACGACAAGGAATCTTGTTTTAATATGGCTAATATTCTACATGGCGAAAGTATAGTAACTCTCTTGGCGCAGCAAGTGTTTTCTTTAGGACAACCAGAAGAATAACAAAGAGGAGCTGCTTTTTTTTTTTAGCAATGAGCTTTGTCTTCCTCTATGTGTTATCATTATTTCCAAAAAAGCTCATTTATCCCTCTTAGGTCCACTCTTTCATTTCCAGGTTTTTAATTTTTTTTGGAATGAGTTTGGATATAGGTATTAGTGGAAAGTATTAACATGATTTTAATCACTTATTTTCCCTGCAGATATTTTCGGCTTAACGTTATAAAGTAGTATTGGTCATACTAATATCAATAACTTCGCAAACAATCAACATTTTTTCCAAAGAGGCAAAAACACCGAACTACCTTTAATTTGTTGTCTTAATTTCTGTATCAAATTGATATTTGCGCCTGAGCTGTCCACTCTCTTTCCATTCGACGAAAATGTTCATCCAGGGGATTAATTTAGCATCCTAAGTGTTTTTTCGACGGCTGCACTCAGTGCAGCTTAGAGCAAATTTCCATCATGGCCATCAAAAAAAGAAAAAAGAAAGAAAAAAGAAAAAAAAATGGCCAGTAGACCAGCGGACCGAAGTTACACATACATATCAGGGAAGAAAAAATTAAACGGGCCAGGCAAATCGCTAAAAACACCAAAAGCATGACTCGTCCAAAGAAACTGCTGCGTTTATGACATGTGCGACCCATTGAGTATCGTCGCATACCAGTGGGAGATTTCAAAACAAAGAGGAAGTAAAAATAGTCATTCTTCCATCTGTTTTATTTTTGAGCTGAAAGCTCTGCGCGATGCCTTGTTTTTGCGCTTAGCAACGTCAAGCTATGTGCGTGAATCCAGTCGTTACCGGGAAATTTTCAGCCCATTCGTTTTGCAGCGGTCGGTCGTGCTCTTACGATACCCTCAAGAACCATACTTTTATGAGCCCAAAAACCCCTCCTTTTCTTAATTACTATTTGGGATTTGAATGATGACATGTTTACATCAACGGCGCCACACACAAATATTAAGAAACAGTTCGGTAAATCCTAATTAAATGAGTAATCCTACACATTTTTTACTCTTAGGTTTTTCGACCTAAGATGGTATTTGTTTCGCTTTGTTTTTTATGTTTTGCCATAAAGGGATAGGTTTTCCTGAGAGATTTTGGTTTTCTCTCCGAGAAAATGATTCGCCATAAAGCGTATACATTTTCCAAGAAACTTATGAAAATGTTGATTATTTGCAGCTTGGAGTACGTACACGTACAAGGACGGTCATATTTAACTTTAATTTTCATTCAGTTTGCCAATCATCATTCGGCGAAAAAACAAGCGGTCACATTCGAATTGAAGGACTTGGAGAACAAGGCGCATAAGTGCAGTTTTTGAAAACATTGAGGTATAAATGACTTTATGTAAAACTACCTTAATGCATATTCTGTGAAAATTTCGCTACCAAACTCCAACTTTTAAGCATCAACAAGTCAGCTTGAACTTTCTTTCCGCCATAAGGATCCATGTAATTTCGAAACTTCAAACACGCATTTCTCGAAATAGCAAAAATTGCACTTATGCGCCTTGTCTTCCAAGCCCCTCAACTTAACTTTTGCCTCAATCGACATCATTGCTTCGATTGTTGGTGCGGGATCTCCAAAATCAGTGGCGTGGCGTGCTTGGCGATCATGTATCGATTGATCTGCCATTTAAACCCATGAAAAAGTATCGATAAACAGGGTGTTCGCAGCGAACACTTTAATAATCGATTATTTACCACAGATTATTCAAATGGGGAAATATCGATAGATCGCAAAGAACGCCACGCCACTGTCCAAAATATATTGTCTCCGGCAGAGAACGGCACTACACACGGGGTATTACCGTAGAAAGTCACACGCCTCCGAGGGCGTGGTAAACATGCATTCCCAACAATAAGTTCAAGTCATAAGTTCTCGACATGAAGGCAGCCTCAAAGTCTAAAGTCCTGGCGGCCTCTCTCCGCTCATTGATCCAGGACCGACACGTTCCCTTCCGCGAGGACGAGAGATAAGCCGCACACCTGCACAATCTCTTGTGTATCGATGTCTTTGTCGTGGACCCGGCAAATCCAACTTTCCTCAAATCGTGTTTCCGTCTTGTATCGTTTGAGAGCAACCGACCGGAAACGGGCGCCTCGTAGGATTTCCGGCACGGGGCGCAGCCGAACCTGGATCGAGACCGGTCTGCGGTACCGCAACGGGTTCGCCGTGGTGATATAGATTCGAGGTGACGGTTCCAGAAGAGTGGCCAT